TACGAAGAAAACATAACTGACAGAGACTATGCCAGAGCACATATTGCGTGGAAACATTTTAACATAAAAAATATTGGTGAATATCATGATTTATATTTGATGACTGATGTATATTTACTGACTGATGTTTTTGAAAACTTTAGGGATATGTGCTTAAACTATTACGGATTAGACCCAGCGTATTATCTCACCTTGCCTAATTATTCTTGGAATGCCTTTTTTATCACTAACAGGAGTGAAACTTCAACAAATCCACAAAAAAGAAATGTATGAGATGATTGAACATGGACTAAGAGGAGGAATGACACAGTGCTCCTTGAAGAAGGTAGACGCAAACAATAAATACATGAACGAAGATTATGATAAATCTAAACCATCATCATACATAAGTTATTTGGACGCTAATAAGCTGTACGGAGTAGCAATGTGTAAGAAACTGCCTTATGATGATTTTAAATGGTATTACGGCAGAATGGATGAGAAGAGGGTAATGAAATATAGTGATGATGACGACACGGGGTATGTTTTAGAAGTTGATTTAGATTATCCAAAAGAACTACATGATTCACATAAAGACTATCCGTAAGCACCTGAAATCATGAGTATCAGTGCGAATATGCTTTCACAAGTCCAAAAGGATATACATAAATACTATTATGGAAAAGATGCCAGTGATGAAAAATCAAAGAAATTAGTCTTAAACGTGATGGATAAAAAAAAGTATGTTTTACATATATCAGCATTGAAGTTTTATTTACAGCATGGATTAAGTCTTAGAAAGGTGCATAGGGCAATAAGTTTCAAACAAGCAAACTTCTTAAAACCATTCATTGAATTCAACACCGAAAAGAGAAAGAATGCCAAGAATGATTTTGAAAAAGATTTGTTTAAGTTAATGAATAATAGCGTATACGGCAAGACCATGGAAAATGTAAGAAAGCATGGTGATTATGAGATAGTTAATACACCTGAACGCTTCCAAAAACTTGTAAATAAACCACTATTCAAACACAGGCATATCATAAATGAAGACCTTGTGATCGTTGAAAAAGATAAGCATACAGTGGAACTAAACAAACCGATCTATATGGGTATGTCTATTTTAGACTATTCTAAAATTCACATGTATTCCTTCTATTATGATGTTTTGAAATCAAAATATCAAGATAATATTAAATTGGTATATACTGATACTGATAGTTATGTAATCAAAGTTGAGACTGATGACTTATATGAAGGCTTTAAGGAGATGAATGATTACATGGACTTTAGCGATTATCCACCTGAGCATCCAAACTATGATAAAACAAACAAGAAGGTATTAGGAAAATTCAAGGATGAAATGAACAGTAAAATAATTACTCACTTTATAGGATTGAAACCAAAGGAATATTGCTATAAAGTATATGGTGATGAGAAAGAACACAAGAAGAGTAAAGGAGTAGTCAAGCATAAAGTGAGCAATCAGTTAAGTTACAAAACTTATGAAGAAACATTGAATAGAAACTGTAAAGAACAAGTCAGTTTTAACACTATCAGAAGTAAGAACCATCAAATCTATAGCATTAATCAGACTAAATATGCTTTAAGCAACTACGATAATAAACGCTACTGGTTTTCAGATTTTGAAAGTCTCCCGTTTGGTCATTATTCCATAAAATATCTACATGACGGAAAAAATGATATAAGATAAATGGATATCAATTCAACAACTGAATAACTGAGTCGAAAAATGGCAAGACATAAACGAAATTGTAAATCTTATCTATATACACAATGCAAACCCCCAAAGAAATCGTTTGGTGAGTTTTGTGTTGAAAATTGTAAAACATGTCTTATTGAAGAATGCCCATGCCAAAACAAAAAGCAACTCGAAAAGAGAGAAGGTTAATATATTGAAACTGATAAGAACTATCTTAACACATGTATTATTGGTCGGACTTGACTAGAATATTCTGATGCCACAGGAGAGCATCACCTTGAAGAAACGAAAGGAAGCCAAATATTCAAATAGGGAATATTGAAGAATACAAAGAAAAAGACAAACCACATCATGAGAACAAAAGCAAAACACAAGAAAGAAGAAACACTGGCAAAAACCAATAAATATGATGACAAAAACTGTTGGTTTAGAGAAGGAAACAAAGAAGCAATGAGACAAACACAAAGAGAAGGATACAAAAAAGACAAAGATAAAATAAATGCAAACAGCAGAGAAAGGCGAAAACAGAAGAACAAAGAACAATTACTAATCAACCAAGAGTAGTTCATGCCTATTATATCTTTTACTCATTCCATCCAATTTGTAATATCTATTATTCATTATATCGCGACCAACTAGTATTACTTTATACTTTCTTTCAGTCCATTGACTTCTCGTTTCTTTCCTTGATACATAGTTGCCCTTTCCTTTGTCAAATATCTTAACATAATCTCCTTCACTTATGTTTGGGTATTTTCTGTTGTGCTTTTCTTTCAGTATCAGATTTGTTCTCACCTGAATTGCGTTATCAAGGTTGTGCGCAGTATTTGGCGTTGTTTTGGTGCTACTGTGGATTTGGTTGTTGTATCTATTCAGCGCGGGCTTTAGCACTTCCACCCATGTTCTGGTTTTGTAATGCCTCAATCTGTCCCCAATCATTTTTTTGACGGTGCGTATCATCCTTTCTGCCTGATTTGCATGCGTCTTTGTTATTACGTGTGTTATTCCTTCCTCCTTGAAGAATGTTTGCAGCTTCTTGCTGTTCAACGCTCCTTCGTCGTCGCTGTAAATCGACAAAGGCTGACCCAATACCTTGAAACACTCCATGACTGCTTTGTAAACGTCATCACCATCTTTATTCTCGATAGGGACTATGTGGCATTGTTTGCTAAATATATCTATGCAAACTAAACCATATCTTAGTTGACTTTTGATTTCAGAACCTACGTCTCGCAGCAAACTGGTGACATCCATCAAGTCAATTTGAAATTCATACTTGGGAAACGGTGCAGCGTAGGAATTGTAGTTCTTGTAGTTTCTTGTTTGCTTGTTCGGTTGCGCCCTCATCCACGCAGATACCATCTCCAAAGTTATACCTACATCGACTTTCCTAGCCTTTTCGTACAAGTCCCTCACCGAGCCGAAGCCGTCCTCCACGTCGTAGTATATTCTTTCCAATACCTTTTCTTTTTCCAATCTTGTCATTAAAAATACTTAGATTACAATTTTATGATATTTTCTTGCATCATAAAATTCTAATGAACTTAAACCAAGAACCTCTGGCACTTTTTGGTTTTATTGTGCTTTGCCAAGTTTGATTTACAACTTAAGTCAGAACCGCATATATCGCATACACACTGCTGTTTCGTTTTCTCTTAGTAATATCTTTGGAAATGCTGTTCGTCGTTAGGTTTTCTGTTATAGTATCCGTCGTCCTGCTTTCTCCATTCAGCACTTTTAGCACTATCTCCAAATGAACATGTTTTACCACCTTCTTCAGACGAAGAAGACGTTTCGCTGTCAGTCAACTCTTTGTTTCTAAAACCGTTCCAAATAACGTCGAAGGTTTGATGAGTCATTGACATTTCAACTCCGTTGCTTACAAAGTAACAAGGCATATTGTGTATATATAGTTAGTTATATATCTTAATATTTGTTTAAGTTTTTTTGTCCTCAATCGGAACTTTGTATACCAGTTTGTGCTTGTGGCATCTCATACAAGTCCCTAACACAAAACCCACTTCAGTTTCAACCTCAAAATTTCTCGTTTTGAGCCATTTATCCTTCCAACTTCCCACCGGTTGACTTAGTTTTAGTGACACCCAGTCCTAAAGCCTAAAACCTCAAAAGTTCCAAACCCAATCAGTCTTTAGCGTTCAAAACAGTGAGACTTGATCTTTCTCCCAAGCCAATCCAATTTTCCCCCAAATCGAGCCAGTCTTTCCCTAAACCGAGCCTGTTTTTCCAAAAGCGGAGTTTCCCAAAAACGGTAACGGATTTCCCCAAAGTCGGCGACGGATTTCCTCAAAGTCGGTGGCTGATGTTCCCAAAGTCGGTGACTGATTTTCCCAAAATCGGTGACGGATTTCCTCAAAATCAGTGACGGATTTCCCCAAAGTCGGTGGCTCATTTCCCCAAAGTCGGTGGCTCATTTTCCCAAAGTCGGTGATGGATTTCCCCAAAGTCAGTGACAGATTTTCCCAAGGTTGGTGACGGATTTCCCCAATGTCAGTAACGGATTTTCCCAAAGTCAGTGACGGATTTCCACAAAATCAGTGACGGATTTCCTCAAAGTCAGTGGCTGATTTTCCCAAAGTCGGTGACTGATTTTCCCAAAATCGGTGACGGATTTCCTCAAAATCAGTGACGGATTTCCCCAAAGCCGGAGCTTTTTCTTTTGCACGAACACACAATCTAAAAGGATAAGAATACCAGAAAGAAGAACTGCATTCCGCAAATGTTCTCCAGATTTTCCTTCGGTTTTCCATCAATTTTCCATTTCCCATCTTAGCATGTCACACTGGCGAGAGTCAAAACGACAACCGCGCTTGCGTGCGCAAATCCATCCCTCAAACCAATCACCACTTCAATGAGTTGTTGCCACTCCATTTTCCGTGTTTAATGCCACGTTTGGGTGAAACTCTGCTCTGAACAGCTCTGCGGCTTCTGTACCAGCTGCTCAGCGATCGTTTGTAGCAAGTTGCCTCTCCAGCTCGTCTTTTTCCAGTTTAATATGCCGCCTTTGTATCTTAATATCATCATCCGTTGAAGGAATAGAAAGTAAAATCGCACAATCACAAAATCAAAGTGCAAAGCTTGCCACAACAAAACATATTATATATACGCATCTTACAATGGAGAAGACGCACATGCACGCAGCAAAAAAAAAATGATAGTGAAACTGTCCAATGCTCACAGTCAGGTCACCAAGAGCCTCACAGAGCAAAACTGCTTCCAGATGCACCATTTAACAAACAAAAGCATTGCCACACTGCACACGTTGCTCGCAAGCCAGCCTCTACGGAATGAGGTATCCATAGCAGCCCGACCTGAATGATTCGTTGACCCCCGCACTTCAACAAGGCGTTTGGAACAAGTGAACAGTATTACTGAGGGGAGGACTTGGAGACTCCACGTTCAACGGAAGCTTCTTCGTCTTCCTTGCTCCATTTGCCATCCTGCACAGAAAGCATTCAAATTGGCAGGTCATCAACGCAACTGCAACTAGCAAAAGAAGTTGCTGGCACAGACAACGGCTCGTCCTGTTGGCTATAAATCTCTATCTTGGAAGACGCAATGACTAGTTCTTCTTTCTTCTTGATCGCCTCAGAGCCAAACGGCAATACCACCCTTCCCCTTAACATACTTTTACAAGCTTTCAATTAAACATGTTCTGGTTTTCATCACTAACTACTTTGTTTGTCTACTCAACGTCAACTAAGGCACAGCATTGCACATGAACGCACAACCATGAACTCACAGCACATCTTAAAGACGGTCGCTCTGCTCAATCTTTGTCATTGCCAAAGCTGTTCCAAAACAAAACGAACCAAAAATTATGTTTGAGGTCAGCGCTTCTTTTAGATCGTCTATGTTCTGCATGTCCTGACACATGTGTCATGCAGTTTTTCAATGCAAAACGGTTCGATTAACACGCTCCAGACTGTTGCGCTTTCAAGTCAGTTTTGCGGCGTCCTTATCCTTGACTTGAAATGCATTGCCGACGAAGTCAAAGCCACCACTGTCGTCCTGCAAGGACAGCCGAGACACCCAAACTCAACCCTTTCCAACCACATGCTAGTGGCATTGAACAGCAAAGGAACACGGCATGGCAAAACATCATACAAAGTCTGAGTCTAAATCCTCTCTCTATCAAATTGAGGAGAATGTTGGGAAGATATCATTCAACAAATCCTGAGGAACAAATATGCTAGTGTTTTATGCATAAAACGTTTACTTCCCTCAAAAAGAACATGGCAAAGGAACAAGCAAAGGGCAGAGAAACAACATGTTGCGTCTAAGTCCTTTCGGAGTTGAATATTGGAAAGCATCCAAATAAACAACCATGCAATCGCCCCAGCCGTGCTGAAACAAAACGTGACAAGGCAAAGGATGCCAGAAAGAAATCTCTTGATGAAGTTTCGGCTGTACAAACCACTTGTGTTTTAACCTAACACTAGTCAAAGGAACTTCGTAAAGGAACAATGGCATCAACTGTTGCAGCGGCTCTTGCAAATAACAATGCTTTCGACGCTTGAGTGGGAGAAATGATGGAGCGCAACCCGACTTTGTTTCACACGACCAATCAACACCGGTTTTAGCACACTAACCGCGCAAAGCAAAACATGAAAGGAACACATGTAGGGATGACAAGGCTGCTTCTTCAACACTTGCTGTATCGCTCACAAGGTGAGATGTTGAGGTGGGAACAGACAAAAGGGCACAGCAAAAGAACAAGGGCATGGCAGAAAAACATACAAATTCTTAGTCTAAATCCTCTCTATCAAATTGAGGAGAGTGCTGGGAAGATATCATTCAACAAATCCTGAGGAAGGAACAACCCTGCAATCGTCTCCCTAAAAGTCCGGAACCCTACCAAGTTCGTAGCGTGACGGTGTATTATCTTGCACAGTGGACTACCCTTCATCACGCTTTTAGTGTGGAGCATGGCTTTTCGTCAATATAAGTTCTTCCTACATCTGACGAAAGGGCACAGCAAAGGAACAAGGGCATGGCAAGAAATCGTACAAAGTCTTTAGTCTAAATCCTCTCTACCTAAGGCAAATGTTGGGAAGATATCATCAACAAATCCTGAGGAATAAACAACCCTGTAATCTTCTCCCTGAGAGTACTAAACCCTACGACGAGCAAAACATGACAAGACGTTCTTTGGCACGACCGACTTACTCACAACCAATCTCTTGTCTTGAGAAGACATGAACGCAGGAATCTCTTATCAGTCCTGCTGCAATTGCCTCACCCAAACGGCTCTGGCGATTGCAGCAATAGCGCCTTGCAGGGTTCGAGATTTGGGGTCTGTACATAACTCCAAAACACAGAACTCCGCCGGTGTTCTGTGCTGTGTCAGGATGCCTTCATCAGGACCTAACCACTCCATTGTTGCGAAGCTTCATTTGGCTTTAGGACAACACTGTGAGCCATGCAAAATTCAAATCGCGAGCCTTGTCCTTCTTGCGGTGCTTGTGGTCTTCGACCTGTTCGCAAATACTCCATGATGGACGCCGGCCTCCAGCCACCAAACGTGTCAGGTATTTGGGTCATGTTCAGAACCACCTCAACGGTCTGCTCTCTGAAATCCATCAATGGATTGTTCGTGAGGAAATCACGCGCTTGCGTGTTTCGCCATCTGTACGTGCGGGCATCCTCTTGTTGCACGGCTCGGGTCCGCTCTCCATTGAGAGTGGCTGCCTCCCTGGCAGCTTCCTCGGATTGCGTGGTCACGATGAGGTGGTGACGATACTGAAAGGCATGCCTCGTGAGATCCATCAGCAGCGGGATTTGTCCCAGCAGCGGGTCTTCTCCCATCAGTCCGGTATCAAAGGTGTTGTCAAAGACAATCTGTAAACGAATGCCGTGCTGATTCATGATACGAAACAGCTCCATGGCAACTCGCGGAGCTTGATCCGCACTCGATACCCGGAAGAACTCTTCAAGGATGCCAGCAAACTTGCCCTGCAGCAACACCGTGACTGCGGACTTCTGTGTGCAATTCCGGAGTGCCAGTGCTGTGGCGACAGACTTGCCGACCCCCGGCTCCGCATGCACAGCAGAGAGACCACCTGTTCGGTTGTCGTTCAACACTGTCATCATCAACCGCTGGAAACCAGTGCCTTCGACTGGCTGTTCAGGTAGTTCTACTACTAGCGGGATGATGGTTTGCTGTGCACGCATCAAGTCAAGCAATCTCTCGGCATGATCTTTGACTTTTGTGGCTGGCGACAGCCGTGGCAGCGGTTGGACTTGGGTAAATTCATTCTCAAACCATGCCATCCGCTTTCTCACGAAATCAAGAATGCTTACTGCAGATGACGCAGCACCCAACGCTGCGGCTGGGTCAAGCGCATGGACCCCTACGGTCGTTGGCTGTGCTTTCACGCTGTCACTTTTGGCGGTCCAAGAGCCAACAAAACCGCAGAGCTCTAGGCTCACATGGGTCAAGAACGCCAGAAGCACCATCCTCCGACATCTGCGCGCCATGATGCTCGATGGACAAGGTGTTTTGCTAGTTTGAGGTCATCTTGCGTCTTTCAGAGGTTCACCGTTCCCACTATGCTGCTGTAGCACTAAATGTGAAGAACCCCCCTTTCATGAGCCTTTGCAGCGGGGTTGACTTGCAAGGTGGTTCACATACTTCGCAGGCAGCAAGCCAAAACTTACAAGTGAAAATAACATCGGCAAAAACTTCAGTCTTCAATGCTTGAACATATCAGTAAAAACTTCAGATAATGCTGAGAACTATGGTGTGAAGAACGTTGGCAATCAAGTGTGACAAACATCAATGCACATCAGTACGAGTAAGCAAGAAGCAAATCAGTGAGTAAAATGCGTCTACCATGTACGAACGCCAAGGTCTCTGCAGAACAATTTCGGCTCTCCTGTTGTTGTAAAGCGCTACATGCAACAAACAAACTGATTTCAGCTGTTCTTCAAGTTCCGATGTTCCTTTGTTTCTTGAAGCTGCCTTGGCAAGAATGTCGTCATTATGTCCAAAGCGAGCCCTCAGGTTTCCCAAAACCCCATGCAAATGGAGGCAACAAAACGCACCTTCCCCACTTGAGGAAAATCAACCACCAATTTGACAAAGTCCATCGGGAAATCTGTGACCAACTTTGGGGCAATCAACCACGGACTTTGGGGACATCACCAATTTTGAGGAAATCCGTCAGACTTTGGGGAAATCCGTCACCGACTTTGGTAAAATCTGCCACCGGCTTTGAGAAAATCAGCCACCGACTTTGAAGAAATTTGTCACCGGTTTTGGAGTCACCGAGTTTGGGGAAAAACTGGCTCGGTTTTGGGGAAACACTGGCTCGGTTTTGGGGAAAAACGGGCTCGATTTGGGGAAATTGGTCTGGTTTTTGGATTGGCTTGCGACAAAGCTCAAGTCTCACTGTTTTGAACGCCAAGCATGTTTGGGTTTGGATGCCACTAAAAGGAAGCCAACTGGTGGGAAGTTGGAAGGGTAAATGGCTCAAAACGAGAAACTTTGAGGTTGAAACTGAATTGGGTTTTGTTTTAGGGACTTGTATGAGATGCCACAAGCACAAACTGGTATACAAAGTTCCGATTGAGGACAAAAATACTTAAACAAATATTAAGATATATAACTAACTATATATACACAATATGCCTTGTTACTTTGTAAGCAACGGAGTTGAAATGTCAATGACTCATCAAACCTTCGACGTTATTTGGAACGGTTTTGGAAACAAAGAACTGACTGACAGCGAAACGTCTTCTTCGTCTGAAGAAGGTGGTAAAACATGTTCATCTGGTGATAATGCTACAAGTGCTGAATGGAGAAAGCAGGACGACGGATACTATAACAGAAAACCTAACGACGAAAAGTATTTCCAAAGATATTACCAAGAGAAAACGAAACAGCAGTGTGTATGCGATATATGCGGTTCTGACTTAAGTTGTAAATCAAACTTGGCAAAGCACAAGAAAACCAAAAAGTGCCAGAGGTTCTTAGTTTAAGTTCATTATGATTTTATGATGCAAGAAAATATCATAAAATTATAATCTAAGTATTTTTAATGACAAGATTGGAAAAAGAAAAGGTATTGGAAAGAATATACTACGACGTGGAGGACGGCTTCGGCTCGGTGAGGGACTTGTACGAAAAGGCTAGGAAAGTCGATGCAGGTATAACTTTGGAGATGGTATCTGCGTGGATGAGGGCGCAACCGAACAAGCAAACAAGAAACTACAAGAACTACAATTCCTACGCTGCACCGTTTCCCAAGTCTGAATTTCAAATTGACTTGATGGATGTCACCAGTTTGCTGCGAGACGTAGGTTCTGAAATCAAAAGTCAACTAAGATATGATTTAGTTTGCATAGATATATTTAGCAAAAAATGCCACATAGTCCCTATCGAGAATAAAGATGGTGATGACGTTTACAAAGCAGTCATGGAGTGTTTCAAGGTATTGGGTCAGCCTTTGTCGACTTACAGCGACGACGAAGGAGCGTTGAACAGCAAGAAGCTGCAAACATTCTTCAAGGAGGAAGGCATAACACACGTAATAACAAAGACGCATGCAAATCAGGCAGAAAGGATGATACGCACCGTCAAAAAAATGATTGGGGACAGATTGAGGCATTACAAAACCAGAACATGGGTGGAAGTGCTAAAGCCCGCGCTGAATAGATACAACAACCAAATCCACAGTAGCACCAAAACAACGCCAAATACTGCGCACAACCTTGATAACGCAATTCAGGTCAGAACAAATCTGATACTGAAAGAAAAGCACAACAGAAAATACCCAAACATAAGTGAAGGAGATTATGTTAAGATATTTGACAAAGGAAAGGGCAACTATGTATCAAGGAAAGAAACGAGAAGTCAATGGACTGAAAGAAAGTAAAAAGTAATACTAGTTGGTCGCGATATAATGAATAATAGATATTACAAATTGGATGGAATGAGTAAAAGATATAATAGGCATGAACTACTCTTGGTTGATTAGTAATTGTTCTTTGTTCTTCTGTTTTCGCCTTTCTCTGCTGTTTGCATTTATTTTATCTTTGTCTTTTTTGTATCCTTCTCTTTGTGTTTGTCTCATTGCTTCTTTGTTTCCTTCTCTAAACCTACAGTTTTTGTCATCATATTTATTGGTTTTTGCCAGTGTTTCTTCTTTCTTGTGTTTTGCTTTTGTTCTCATGATGTGGTTTGCCTTTTTCTTTGTATTCTTCAATATTCCCTATTTGAATATTTGGCGTCCTTTCGTTTCTTCAAGGTGATGCTCTCCTGTGGCATCAGAATATTCTAGTCAAGTCCGACCAATAATACATGTGTTAAGATAGTTCTTATCAGTTTCAATATATTAACCTTCTCTCTTTTCGAGTTGCTTTTTGTTTTGGCATGGGCATTCTTCAATAAGAAATGTTTTACAATTTTCAACACAAAACTCATCAAACGATTTCTTTGGGGGTTTGCATTGTGTATATAGATAAGATTTACAATTTCGTTTATGTCTTGCCATTTTTCGACTCAGTTATTCAGTTGTTGAATTGATATCCATTTATCTTATATCATTTTTTCCGTCATGTAGATATTTTATGGAATAATGACCAAACGGGAGACTTTCAAAATCTGAAAACCAGTAGCGTTTATTATCGTAGTTGCTTAAAGCATATTTAGTCTGATTAATGCTATAGATTTGATGGTTCTTACTTCTGATAGTGTTAAAACTGACTTGTTCTTTACAGTTTCTATTCAATGTTTCTTCATAAGTTTTGTAACTTAACTGATTGCTCACTTTATGCTTGACTACTCCTTTACTCTTCTTGTGTTCTTTCTCATCACCATATACTTTATAGCAATATGCCTTTGGTTTCAATCCTATAAAGTGAGTAATTATTTTACCGTTCATTTCATCCTTGAATTTTCCTAATACCTTCTTGTTTGTTTTATCATAGTTTGGATGCTCAGGTGGATAATCGCTAAAGTCCACGTAATCATTAATCTCCTTAAAGTCTTCATATAAGTCATCAGTCTCAACTTTGATTACATAACTATCAGTATCAGTATATACCAATTTAATATTATCTTGATATTTTGATTTCAAAACATCATAATAGAAGGAATACATGTGAATTTTACAATAGTCTAAAATAGACATACCCATATAGATCGGTTTGTTTAGTTCCACTGTATGCTTATCTTTTTCAACGATCACAAGGTCTTCATTTATGATATGCCTGTGTTTGAATGGTGGTTTATTTACAAGTTTTTGGAAGCGTTCAGGTGTATTAACTATCTCATAATCACCATGCTTTCTTACATTTTCCATGGTCTTGCCGTATACGCTATTATTCATTAACTTAAACACATCTTTTTCAAAATCATTCTTGGCATTCTTTCTCTTTTCGGTGTTGAATTCAATGAATGGTTTTAAGAAGTTTGCTTGATTGAAACTTCTTGCCCTATGCACCTTTCTAAGACTTAATCCATGCTGTAAATAAAACTTCAATGCTGATATATGTAAAACATACTTTTTTTTATCCATCACGTTTAAGACTAATTTCTTTGATTTTTCATCACTGGCATCTTTTCCATAATAGTATTTATGTATATCCTTTTGGACTTGTGAAAGCATATTCTCACTGATACTCATGATTTCAGGTGCTAACGGATAGTCTTTATGTGAATCATGTAGTTCTTTTGGATAATCTAAATCAACTTCTAAAACATACCCCGTGTCGTCATCATCACTATATTTCATTACCCTCTTCTCATCCATTCTGCCGTAATACCATTTAAAATCATCATAAGGCAGTTTCTTACACATTGCTACTCCGTACAGGTTATTAGCGTCCAAATAACTTATGTGTGATGATGGTTTAGATTTATCATAATCTTCGTTCATGTATTTATTGTTTGCGTCTACCTTCTTCAAGGAGCACTGTGTCATTCCTCCTCTTAATCCATGTTCAATCATCTCATACATTTCTTTTTTGTGGATTTGTTGAAGTTTCACTCCTGTTAGTGATAAAAAGGCATTCCAAGAATAATTAGGCAAGGTGAGATAATACGCTGGGTCTAATCCGTAATAGTTTAAGCACATATCCCTAAAGTT